ATATATATATATATATATATATATATATATATATATATATATATATATATATATATATATATATAGCGTTGCTGAGGAGAACGCGTTGCAGTACTTATGTATTGAATTTATTTATAAACTTTCTCCTTTATATTATATTTATTATATAAATTTATTTAAATATTATATTTATTATATTTATCCATTTATTTATTTATTTATTTATTTATTTATTTATTTATTTATATTATATTTATACAGGCCAATAGCGTCTCGCGTGGTGTCTCTATTTGCTGAGGAGAACGCGTTGCAGTTCGCTGTGCCTGGTGTATTGACTCTCTTTATAAAATTTCAATACATAAAAATACACGAATAAATACAATAAAAAAATTAATAAATGTATATATTTATATATATATTTATTTATTTATACAGGCCAATAGCGTCCCGCGTGGTGTCTCTATTTGCTGAGGAGAACGCGTTGCAGTTCGCTGTGCCTGGGGGGTTGATAGGGGTGGGGACGTTGGTGGACCCCACACTGACCCGGGCCGACAGGCTGGTGGGGCAGGTCCTCGGCCACCCCCGCCAGCTGCCGGAGTGTTATATAGAGATAGACGTCAACTACTACTTACTCAGGAGACTTCTAGGAGTCAAAAGCCAGGTATTTAGCGTGGTTTAGGGTTTATCAGGGTTTAGGGTTTATCAGGGTTTAGGGTTTACAGGGGGGGGAGGGGTAGAGAGGAGAAAAGGAAGGAGAAGAAAGCGATGTTTTGTCAAATTCTTAGGGTTTAGAGTTTGTAAGGGTTTGTAAGGGTTTTCAAGGGTTTGTAAGGGTTTGCAAGTGTTTGCAAGTGTTTGCAAGGGTTTGTAAGGGTTTAGGGTTTTTAAGGGTTTAGGGTTTTGTGTGTGTGCAGGACGGCGACAAGTCAACGAAGGTGTCTAAGCTAAAAAAGGGAGAGTTCGTGATGGTCAACGTCGGCTCCACCTCCGTGGGGGCGAGGGTTGCTGGCGTCAAACCAGAAATAGCTAAACTTGAACTCACGGGGCCTGTGTGCACCAGGGTGAGGGTTTAGGGTTTAGGGTTTGGAAGGGTTTAGGGTTTGGAAGGGTTTAGGGTTTGGGAGGGTTTGGAAGGGTTTAGGGGTTTAAGGGTTTGGGGCGGGGGTCAAACCCGAAATCGCTAAACTTGAACTCACAGGGCCCGTCTGCACCAGGGTGAGGGTTTAGGGTTTGGAAGGGTTTAGGGTTTGGAAGGGTTTAGGGTTTGTAAAGGTTTGAGGGAAAAGACGTAGCAGGTTTAGGGTTTAGGGTTAGATTAGGGTTTAGGGTTTATTACAATGGGTGAGAGGAGAGGCCCTTTGTCCCTGATGCTTATGGCTATCAAACCCTAAACCCTAAACCCCCTAAACCCTAAACCTCCAAAACCCTAAACCCTAAACCCTAAACCCTAAACCCTAATTTGTGTGGTTGCAGGTAGGAGATAAAGTGGCGTTGAGTCGCCGCGTAGATAAACACTGGCGGCTGATTGGGTGGGGTCAGATAAACAAGGGGAAAACCCTTCTGCTGCAGGAGCCTCTCTAAACCCTAAACCCTAAACCCTAAACCCTAATTCCTTATACACGAAGAAAACGGAATCAAATTGCAGTGTATCGACAGCTCGCGCTGCTGCAACCTGCTGCTGCAGCAACAGCGGCAAGAGTAGCTGTTGCTGCAACAAGTGCTGCTGCTGTTGCTGCAGCAGCAGCAGCAGCAACAGCAGCAGCAGCAGCAGCAGCAACCGCAGCAACAGCAGCAAATAATGTGGCAGTAGTAGATAGTGCCTCGATATGATGACGGCGAGGGTTTATTCTAAACCCTAAACCCTAAACCCTCGTCCGTTTTGGTGTTGTCTTGTGAACAAACAAAACGAAATTCTTTATTTGAGGGTTTAGGGTTTGGTGATAGGAGCTGCAGCGGACCTAGGGTTTGGGGGTTTAGAGGGATACGAGGTGCCTGCATCTCCTTGGCTAGCTAGGGTTTAGGGTTTAGGGTTTAGGGTTTAGGGTTTACTGCTGTGTCGAGCTGCTGCTGC